CTGGCTGGGGCTGGGAAAACACCTCTTATCAACAGGGTGTCTGAATGAAACGTAATTGTACACCTAATCCTTAACTGTACCCCACAAAACTATAATAAAAATACTGATTAATTAAAAAAAAAAAAAAAGAAAAAAATAAAATAAAATGAAACTATGTATTTACTGTTCAGTTTATTGTGAATAATAGTCTTGCACAGTATTAGCATTAGATTGATCTAAAATACAGAAGGTCTTAGCTAAGCTTTTTACTTTGCTTATTTTTATTGCTCTGCATGTTGTGGTTACATACAATACTGATAAACTACAAGCAGCCTGTATCTAACCCAGTTTGTACCAAACATCTGATTTTATAAGAAGCTGATATTAGGGGAAAAGCAGGATCATTGTTTCAGATATTACAAATAAGTCAACATCTCCCAGTTGAAAAATAGTGTAGAACAGTGAATTTGACATCAAGTACATAAAAATGTAAGAAACAGCCATGATTAGAACCATATTTAGTGTCACCTGTGGGTTCCATGGTCTATGGCATAAACCACATTTCCAAAGATTTACAAAGATAAACACTGCCCCCAAAATAAGAGTTAAGAGCTAAGAAAATCATTTTTTTTCCCTTAAGGAACCAGATAAACAGCAAAGACTCAATGGTTACCAAAATTTATTTTCCATGTATAAAATAATCACCTTAACTTCCAATATACACCACATTTATCTCTAAACTTTCATAGAAAAAAGGAAGAACTTAAAAAGAAAAAAAGAAGAAGAAGAAGCCATAGTATGATAAAATTCACTAACTCGAACAATACCAATTCAGAACCTTAGGAATCCAGATGTTTGGAATGAACATCTGTCTCTGCAGCATGCCACCTAAGTACAACAGAGTGGTACTAGTATTTATACAGACATCTTAAGGAGACAGTACAGTATTATTACCTGGTATAGCAATGATAGTATTATAAAATGCTAAATATAATGTAAGGAAATCACATAACCAACACAGCACTGAAATCATATTTCTTTCAGTGGTGATGATCAACGTGGAATACCTTGTGCTTCCTGGCTCGTGCAGAATCTCCTAGAACCAACCCTGTCTTGGAGCTGGGGTAGAGATGAAGGTTTAGGGTTCTGGCACAGAGCCAAACTGTGGCCTGCTTGAGAAGTACATTCAGAACTGTGGTCTTAATTTTGCCAAACAAGCAAAACCGTACTTTGAAGTAAAACCTTTGAGATTCTTTAGAAATGCTCTGAACTTAAGACTCCCCTAAATCACCCTGAAATTATACCAACTTCTTACATACATGAGCAAAAAGCCTTTACTTTATTTATTAAGTCCATTCAGATGAAGGCTCAGGATGCAATGGCAATCAAAACTTCACAGATTTTCTGAAAAGTTATTTATATAACCAATATCTTCTTACAAGTAGTATTATTTAATCAGATAAAAATGCAAGCATAAATAATAAATTCACATATTAAGTTTGTTCCAGGCTAAGTGGAAACGTGTACACACATCTCCTTTGTAAAAAATTTAAGTGCCAAAACCACAGTTCTTTTCTTGAAAGAGACGCACTACCACTGGCAATGTTTTTTTTCTTTTTTTGAAGTCAATATTTTTAATAAATTAGTTCCCAAAAGGCCAATTTCTATTCTCAAAAAACATCTAAGTCACTTGAGATGAAAAACATTTTATCTGAAAATGTATTACAGCTCCCAATCATTCCAAATTGACATCCCAAAATACTGGGCTCTTCCACAGTGACAAAGCTTGGAGATTGGGACCCTCTTGATTACTTACTTGTTGAAAAAAGGTTCAATGAGTTTTGATCTGGCAGACACATGAATTTTTGGAGGACTAAGAAAAGAACCTAATGAAGAAAAGAAGCAAAGTATTACACACAGTCACGTAGACAAAAATATATTTAAATCAACAGTATGGCTCAACAAGGGTAAATGGTATTCTTACTGGTCAAGTGCCATGTCACAGGTAAGTATCAGTGGTTCTTCCCTGCCTATTCCCATCTCCTGATCTCCTCCAACTCCTGCCTCAAAACCTTCCCACTTCTAATTGGGTGAGTGGATCTCTGGGTGAGTGTTATAGATTGAATGTGTTCCCTAAAAATTTGTATGTTGAAGCCTAATCCCCAGTGACAGTATTTGGAGGTGAGACTACTGGGAGGTAATTAGATCATGAGGGTGGAGCCCTTCTAAGGGAGATTAATGCCCTTACAAGAAGAGGCAGGAGCTGGGCACAGTGGCTCATGTCTGTAATCCCAACTTTGGGAGGCTGAAGTGAGAGTACTGCCTGAGTCCAGGGGTTCGAGACCAGCCTGGGTAACTTGGGGAGACCTCATCTCTAAATAAAAATAATTAGCCAGGCATGGTGGCGCATGCTTGTGGTTCTAGCTACTTGGAAATCTGAGACGGAAGGATCACCTGAGCCCAGCAGGTGGAGGCTGCCATGGCCATGAGCATGCCGTGGCACTCTAGCCTAGGCAACAGAGTGGGACTCCTACTCAAAAAAAAAAAAAAAAAAAAAAGAAGAGACAGGAGAGCATCATCCTTCTTTGCTCTCCATCATGTGAGGAGAGGACATGAGAAGATGGCTACCTGCAAACCAGGAAGTGGGCCCTCACCAGACACTGGATCTGTCAGCAACTGATCTTGGACTTCCCAGCCTCCAGAACTATGAGAAATAAATGTCTGTTGTTTAAGTCCTCCAGTCTACAGTAAATTGTTATAGCAGCCTAAGGTGGGAGACAGGTAAGAATCCACTATACATCACAGAGTATTAGAAACACATATGGTGCATACCTAGGTAATTTGCCATAGAGATGAAGCACAGTCCTGTGATATAAGCATCATAGCCTGCCTCATGGAGTTGTTCAGAAGCTGTGTCATAACTTGGAAAACCTTCTGCACTTTCTAAATTAGAGAAAAAGAAAAAATGGTTTCTCCCAGGACATCACAAAACATGAAGACTAGTAAGTACATTGTGCTACCAAATCCAAATTGCTTTAGTATATGCTGTAGCAATATCCTAAATAAGCAAAGGAAAAAAGTTACTTCTTAATTCTCTCCATATAAGACCTTATAATCCAAGATAACAGAGTCACTGAAAATGAGGGTTTTGGTCTAAACTAGAGAAATGCCTCGGTTACACTATGAACCTCAGCCATGAGCCAGGTTCGTTGGCTCAGCCTGTAATCCTGCACCTTTGGAGGCTGAGGTGAGTGGATTGCCTGAGCCCGCGGGTTCAAGACCCACCTGTGCAACTTGGCAAGACCTCATCTCTACAATAAATCAAAAATTAGCCGGGTGTGGTAGCATGAGCCTGTAGTTCCAGCTACCTGGAAGGCTGAGGCGGAAGGATCGCCGGAGCCCAGCAGGTCGAGGTTGCAGTGGCCGGGAGCGGCCACTGCACTCCAGTCTGGGCAACAGAATGAGACTCCAACTCTAAAAAAGAAACTCAGCCATGGATTTTTATCATCCCATATTGGTGGGTGCTATTCAACATCATATATGGTCCATGAAAAGAAAATTCTTACCTTACACATGATGATAATATCAGGACACAAAAGATATTTCAGAACAAAGATTAATAGCATGGACCCTGGAGTCACACAGTCTGAGTCTGATTCTCTGTCCCACCACTCATTTGCTATGTAAACTTAGGCAAGCCACTTCTCCTCTAACTCTCCAATTATGTAAAATGGAAATGATATTCAAACCTCCCTCACATAAAGTTTTTGTGAGGATCAGAGGAGATAAAAGTAAAACTCTTACCTAGTGCTTGGTACATGGTAAGTGCTCAGAAATTGTTATGTATCAATACTCCAGGCAACCCCTCCAAAAAACAAAAGGCTTGAGTGCTATCGGCAGACCAAATTCAATATTGTTCTCTACTATGTTTCCAAGCTTAGGGATCCAAAGATGACAACACAACCAGCTCCAAAGATAAATCACAACTTGCTGTAATGCTGTCCTTGGATCATGGGGCCACATCATGATTAGATCATTCTTTCATATATGATTCTTTTGCCACACTGATAAACACAAATGTTAGCAGATAATGCCTGAGAAGAGTGACCTGCTTTAGACTAAATTCTGTACCAGAGAGTACCAGAATTATATATGGAAATAATAGGCTAAAACTATTAACTCATAAATTATATTTCCTACACCCATTCTGGAAATGAATGTCAAGAATGCTATTACAACACAGAATCAACAGCATGAATGGAAATTAACAATGAAAAGGCTGCAACTTTTTACTTTTTATGTCAATACAATACTCTTTAAGCAAGAATTCTTTCACCTCCACAAGTATTAAACATTAGACTCAAAGTTTTTTTTAAAAAAAAGGCCCTTTAACATGGCAGCCACCTAAGTAATAGCTTCCGTTCTATCACCAGATGAAACACATTATTTCCAAAATCAATTATTTCCATTATATTGTTACAGAAAAAGTCTAGGTTTTCTTCCCCCACCACCACCCATTTTCTTAATTCCTTTCTTGGACAATTACCCAGAAAGAGAAGCAAATAACTGTAATCTTGGTGCTTTAATACCTTGCATTATCAATTTTTAATCCTATTATCAATGTCTTTAGAAGTTTACAGGCTACAGTTAATGGAATGCTAATTACAGTATCAGCAGCACAATTAGGCTAAAAGGGACCAAAGCAGTAGTACCGGAAGGCCCACCAAATACCTGGGTAGTGGCCAGACGTGGCAAAACACTTCTATCTCCCAAGAAACATTCCTCCCAACTTCTGGTTTTCCTCAATGCTGCTGCTTCCACTCCCTAAACCAGTTCAGAAAGAGGCAGGGATGGGGGACTCTCCTTAATCTCATCTGTGAACTCAGTTCTTGGGCTTTTTTGACACAGAAGATATACCTTCATTCTACCCCTGGCTATTAATCACCATAATGCACCATAGAAGAGAAAGATACATCAAGTTTTGTGAGAATTCCAAGCACTAGGAAATACAAGCCCGGAAGCTTTAATTGCTAAAATTCTCAATGAATGGCTACACAACCCTATTAACATAAAATAGATGTAGAATTAGAAGACCATCCTTATTCAGAAATCAGTAACTCAGGCCAGGCACAGTGGCTCACACCTGTAATCCCAGCACTTTGGGAGGCCAAGGCGAGAGGATTGTCTAGGAGCTGGAGACCCGCCTGGGAAAAATAGCAAGACCTCGTCTCTGCATTAAGTCAAAAAATTAGCTGGGCATAGTGGCATGTGCCTGTAGTCCCAACTACTTGGAGGGCTGAGGCAGAAAAATCTGAGCCTAGCAGGTCAAAGCTGTGGTGACTGTGATCATGCCACTGGCACTCCAGCCTGGGCGACAGAGTAAGATTTCGACTCAAAAGAAGAAAAAAAAAATAGGGGGAGAAGAGAAAACTGTAACTCAACACAAAGCATGAGCAATTTAATTCAGCCAAAATATTTAAGTATACAATACAGTTTCTAGAGCCATTTCACCTTTCTTCTACAATATACATCAATAATTACCACAAAGAGTTTAGGGGTTTTCAGGTTTGTTTACTAATCTTACCAACTTTAGGTGGGCTGAAAGGTGTCTCTTTTAACCGCTTTTCCAACTCTGCAAGGGATGTGTTGTTAATGATATCCTGCAAACCAAGAAGAAAAGAATTATGAGACTTCATCATCTCAGTGCAATATATATTAAAATGATTCACTGTCAGTACAAAAAAAAGTATCTAGTACTGCCCCCTTGTGTTCTGTAAAGAAACACAGAAGTCACAGTTTATTCAATGTGAAAGAGAAGCAGCAAGTTTTGTTTTGTTTTTTAATCTGTGATTTTGTTTTTAATTACCTTGAGTTTTATGATCACACATAATTTTTAAATTTGTGTGTATCTCCTCTACTTTAATCCTTCTAATGAGTTGGCAAAAGCACCATTCCCAATCACATATACATAGTAGTTACACGGTTTTATGTGTTTTGGTGCCTGTTAAAAGACAATCCTAAATTATAACTTTAGTCTGATTTAGATAGTTAAGAATTCAAAAGTAAAAGTTAACTTGCTGCTATTTACTGTCACACTAACTTTTAAAAGCACTTGACCTTAAAGATCACCTATAAAAACAGAAAATCATTAAATACTCTTTATTTGATATTACACATAAACCACACTAAAATACTAAGAAGTAGAAAGTTTAATTTTCACTATGTGAAAAGTATAACCGAATGAAAAGAAGATGCATTAAATACCTACGAACGTTTTGCCAGAAGGTTATACTACTCTGGAATTCATTTCACTCAGTTATATTAAGTTACTTTACAAAGTAACAAATGATTATTCCTTTACTTAAATTCTCTCGATTAGAAAATATATCCAAAATACATAAAATAAGAAAAAGAAAATGAAGAAAGGAAGAACTGTGTAACCTATTCAAAAATTAATTGTGCATTTCAATATTAAAAACTTATATTAGCTGGGCTCGGTGGCTCAGCCTGTAATCCTGCGCTTTGGGAGGCTGAGGTGAGTGGATTGCCTGAGCCCGCAGGTTCAAGACCCACCTGGGCAACTTGACGAGACTTCATCTCTACAATAAGTCAAAAAATCAGCCGGGCATGGTAGCCTGTAATTCCGGTTACTCGGAAGGCTGAGGCGGAAGGATCGCCAGAGCCCAGCAGGTCGAGGCTGCGGTGGCCGGGAGCGGCCACTGCACTCCAGTCTGGGTGACAGAGTGCGACTCCAACTCAAAAAAAAAAACTTATATTAATAAGCCGGGTGTGGTAGCAGCCTGTAGTTGCAGCTACTTGGAAGGCTGAGGTGGAAGCATTGCCTAAGCCCAGCAGGTTGAGGCTGCAGTGGACATGAGTGTGCCACTGCACTCCAGCCTGGGTGACAGATTGAGACTCCAACTCGAAAAATAAAAAAAAAGAACAAAGAACAAAGGACATATATATAATTCCACCACTCAAAGACAACCATTATTCACATTTTTATACACATGTTTCTGGTCTTTTTCCAATTTTTTTCTCCTTCCTTCTTTCTTTCTTTTTCTTTTCTTTTTTTTTTTTTAATGTATTTGAAATGACGTTTAAATAGACCAGCATCCCAAAGCTCTTAGAAGAAATTATTTCAAAATTTTAAATATAAAGATTATCAGTGACAGCTCAAATTTAAATAATACCTTAAAAGGTTGTGTACTGGCCATCAATTTAGTATCCAAGAGTCTAAAAACAAAAAAATTAAAAAGGTAAACAAAATGTGTATCAGTGTTCAAAATGTATTTTATTCAAATACATAAAATAGGTAATATATGAATACTTTAAATACTTATACATAAAAATACACACTTAAGACACAAAATATTTAATACACAAAGTACTTAAACATAAACAGAGGAATTAAGCACATCAGCCACCTTGAACCTAGCTACATTAGAGTAGGTACTCCGTCCCATCACCAGCAACTTCAAGTAGCTGTGGGAGTGTCTACACTAACACACTCAGGGCCCAGACTCCAGAGTCACTGTGTACCCTGAGAGAGTGTGGGCTACATCAATCTCAAGAGTAAGTCAATACCCTCAACTTGAGCTGGGATCAGTGGCTCAGCCTGTAATCCCGTGCCTTTGGGAGGCTGAGGTGGGTGGATTGCCTGAACCCGCCTGGGCAACTTAGTGAGACCTTATCTCTACAATGAATAAAAAGATTAGCCGGGCGTGGTAGCGCACGCCTGTAATTCCGGCTACTCGGAAGGCTGAGGTGGAAGGATCGCCAGAGCCCAGCAGGTCGAGGCTGCAGTGGCCGGGAGTGGCCACTGCACTCCAGTCTGGGCGACAGAATGAGACTCCAACTCAAAAAAAACCAAAAAAACAAAAAACAACAAACAAACAAAAATACCCTCAACTTGTTTGTCTCAAACCGCTAACCAAATAGTGCTACTACTCAGGTTTGTACACTATACATTCTTATGAGGGACCAAAATCTGCATTTGCTACATTTATGCTGCTGTTGTTATTTCTCATTACTCTATTTCAGAAATGGAAATACCAAAAAGAGAGAGAAGGGGACTGACTAATATGAAAACTCTATATGAAAACTTTTTTACATAAATGTGAATATGGTGGATAACAGAATAGAAATACAAGTCAGGCTTGGTGGCTCAGCCTGTAATCCCATGCTTTGGAAGGCTGAGGTGAGTGAATTGCCTGAGCAGGTTCGAGATCCGCCTGGGCATCATGGCAAGACCTCATCTCTACAATAAATCAAAAATTAGCCAGGCGTGGTAGCACGCGCCTGTAGTTCCAGCTAGTTGGAAGGCTGAGGTGGAAGGATCGTCAGAGACCAGCAGGTCGAGGCTGCGGTGGCCACGAGCCAGTCTGGATGACAGAGTGAGACTCCAACTCAAAAAAAAAACAAAAAAAAAAAACCAGGATCGAAATAGCTCAGCCGGGCTCGGTGGCTCAGCCTGTAATCCCGCGCCTTTGGGAGGCTGAGGTAAGTGGATTGCCTGAGCCCGCGGGTTCGAGACCCGCCTGGGCAGGCGAGACCTCATCTCTACCATACTTCAAAAAATGAGCTGGGTGTGGTGGCGTGCGCCTGTAGTTCCAGCTACTCGGAAGGCTGGGGTGGAAGGATCGCTGGAGCCCAGCAGGTCGAGGCTGTGGTGGCTGGGAGCGGCCACTGCACTCCAGTCTGGGCGACAGAGTGAGACTGCAACTCAAAAAAAAAAAAAAGAAATAGCCCAGCTGGGCCAAGTGCAGTGATGCACTCCTGTAATCCTAGTACTTTGGAAAGCTGAGGCGAGAGAACTGTCTGAGCCCAGGGGTTCAAGACCAGTCTAAGCAACATAGCAAGACCTCATGTCTACAAAAATCCAAAAATTAGACACAGTGACGCACACCCAGCCAAGCTACCTAGGATGCTGAGATGGAACACTTGAGCCCAGGAGGTGGAGGCTGCAGTGAGCCGTGATCATGCACCACTGAACTCCAGCCTGAGTAACAGATTAAAAAAAAGAAAAAAGGACAACCCCCTTGAGTCCCCTCCCACAAGGGGAGCTTTTCTGTCCTCTCAATGAAAGAAAGAAAGAAAGAAAGAAAGAAAGAAAGAAAGAAAGAAAGAAAGAAAGAAAGAAAGAAAGAAAGAAAAGAAAAAAAAAAAGAAATAAGCAGCTTTTCTGTCCTCTCAATGAAAGAAAGAAAGAAAGAAAGAAAGAAAAGAAAGAAAAGAAAGAAAAAGAAAAGAAAAGAAAAGAAAAAAGAAATAGGCCGGGCACGGTGGGTGGCTCATGCCTATAATGCCAACACTTTGGGAGGCCAAGGTGAGAGGATTGCCTGAGCTCACAGGGTCGAGACCAGCCTGGGCAACTTGGCAAGACCTCATCTCTACAATAAATTAAAAAAAAAAAAAATTAGCCAGGCATGGTGGAGCGTGCCTGTAGTTCCAGCTACTTGAAAGCCTGAGGTGAGAAGATCACCTGAGCCCAGAAAGTTGAAGTTGTGGTGGCCATGAGCATGCCATTGCACTCCAGCCTGGGCAATAGAGTGAGACTCCAACTCAAAAGAAAAAAAAACAAGAAAAGAAAAGAAATAGCCAAATTGAAAGAGCAACTTTTCGGTCACCATGCCTGTCCCTCTTCAATGGGTCCTATAACAGACTTTTGCTCTGTAAGCTCTACATGGCGGACATGTGATCTCCCATGTGACATATTAGAACTATCACACACTTTTTTTAAAAAATAGAAATGGGGTCTCGCTGTGTCGCTCAGACTGGTCTCAAACTCCTGGCCTCAAGTGATCCTCCCACCTCAGCCCCCAAGTTGTTGGGATTACAGGTATAAGCCACTGCACCCAGCCAACTTGCAATATTAACAGTGGAAAATACTAAAAGGAAAAGGCACTGACTTAAAATGAAGGAAAAATATCTCCAGCCAAACAGTTCTTGACCAACTAGACAGTACCCTCTGACCAACTAGATAGTACCCTCTGAAGTGAAGATGGACACTTCAGTAGTCACAAGGCCATCCCACATCCAAGACAGACGAGAGTCATCTCAAGGAGTCTGGACCAGTTCCTCAGACAGAGAAATGTGGGATCAGACAAAAGGAGTCACCACCTACTTGCACTCTTGGTTCAGATTTTGATGTTTAATGGGATAACAATACTAGTAGTAAAGTATAAAAGCAAACCATCACAAAGTTGAGATATTAAATAATTTTCAGTCTTGTTTTTTTATTAGGTCTAATCATGATGTAATGGTTTTAACAAGTTATTATATCCTTCCTTGTATTATATATGTCACAATGACTGTTTTATTTAAAAGACAAATCCTCAAAGAAAGCTTACCTGGGGAATACACATGTTGTCATCTCTTTAAACTCATTTAAGTCCTAGAAAACAGAGAATGACTTGTTACAATGTTCCTCATATACTCACAGTATTCAGAAACATATGTAAACAGCTCGGGTTCCATAACTGTCTTAAGCAATCACATCTCTCAAAGGCTTTAAGCTAAACTGCAAAACCTATTTCTAGTTAATAATTACTTTTTTAAAAACTTCCCAATTATTTTTTTTAAAACTTCCTAACTTCTCACTGATTGAGAACCATATGACCTGATAACTAACCTTTGCATAACCAAAAAAGACAAATTTAATGATTTTATAGCCGAAATGGAAAAGGGGAGACTTCCTACTATATGTAAGACAACAAATTTGAGGCTCAAAATAAATCCAGAAAACTTCCAGTAACAGCTAACAGACTGTGGCCCATTACATAAACTTATCATAATATCGAGACTAACAGAGTCATTTAAATTCAATGATTTATATAGGAAATGGACATACTATAAACTAGCATAGATATTCACTGGGATCACCTTTGAAATGTTAGTAAAAAAACAACCATGAAAAAACAGGCCTTTCAATACATGACTCATGTTTTAACTGCCCAGAAAATTGCTTAAGTGGCATTAATAGCAAGTACCTAAACAATTCATTTTCCAGGAAGTTTATTTTGATCAGGAAGCCTAGAGCTGAAATGAGAGTACTCTCATTTTGAATCAACTCATTTACATATATAATTACAACGCTAGACTGAGTAGCCATACTCCTGACCCTTTGTAAACTACACTTATCTTCAATGTTATTCATGCTTCCTAGGAAACTGCCATTTCCAATTAGCTTTCCAAGACTGTAAATACAAAGTATATTTAGCTAGTTTGAAATATTTATCAGCTTTTCAGTGGCTATAGTTAAATTAATGGGCAATACATGAACAAGTGGTTTCAATGCTACGTCAAACAAAAAATTCAATAATGACTGTAATCTCTCAATACCACTGAAGTTTTACAAGCAAGGAAAAAGGAGAATTACAGCTACCTCCAGGACCAACATATAGCAGAGTTCTAGACCAATGCCTTCTAAAATGTCAAGTTCAAGTACCAAGATGACTTATAAGAAGAAATTCTCCCCTAAAAGATAGCTTCAAAATATGGATTCTTTACTGTCCTTTTAAGTGCAAAATTTAGTGCCAGTGCATGTAAAAGTTCTACTTTTTATTATTTTTCATTTTTTTAGAGATGCTTTGTTGCCTGGGCTAGATTCGACTGCCTGAGCACAGGCAATCCTCCTTCCTCAGCCTTCTGAGTAGCTGTGACAATAGACATGCACCACCATACCCAGCTAGTTCCACCATTCTATTTTATTTTTGAGTCAGGGACTCACTCTGACACCCTGGATGGAGTGCAGCGGCATGCTTATCACACCCTTGAAATACTGGGCTAAAGGATCAACCCTCCTCAGTCTTCCAAATAGCTGGCACTACTTGCTACTTACACCAACTAATTTTTTTTTTGCAGAGATGAGATCTTGCTATTTTGCCTAGGTTGACCTTGAACTCCTATGCTCAAGCAATCCTCTCACCTAGGCCTCCCAAAGTACTGGAATTATAGTTGTTAGCCACCACATCTGGCTAGTTCTACCATTTTAAATAGGTTTTCTCATTTATTCTCATCACTTCTTCCAAAGGAAGTTAGAAGAAAACCATTTTATCCCTCTGACAATGCCAGGAGCATAAAGAGTTAAGTAACTGACCAAGGTAGCCTTAGTAATGAAGCAGGGAATTAAACTGTTTATTCTAACCCACCTCCTATTCTGTAACATATCACTTACTCTTTCTACCTGAATGCAATTCAAGACAAATTTCATTCAATTTAACATTCATTAAGTGCTTATATACAATGCGCTATGCTAGGCTCTTAGACACAGACAATAAAAAAGCTATACTCCTTGTTCAAAGAACCAGATATCTAGAAGAACGAGAAGGAAGTTATGCTGTATAATACAAGACGAAATTTATGTACCCTAGAGGTACAAAGTTCTGTGGGAGTTCAGAGAAAGAAAATATCATTTCTTGGGCAAGGCAGCAGTCAGCAAAAATTTCAAGGAGGAGGCATAAGCTATACTGTGGAAAAATAAGGTAAAGCTGTATATAGCAACACTGGGAAGAGTTAAAGAAAATTCACGTTGGAGGAAACTATATACCAAAACCACAAACCTAGGAACCTGTTTACAAAGCAATTCTCAGGAAACAAATAAGCCAGTCTGGGAAGGAGAGTAATAAGTAGTTAGACTACACAGAAAGCCTGGGCCAGGTCACAGAAAGCCTGATCTGCCAGGCTATAAAGTGTCAGTCATATAGAAAAACAAATAATGCAGAATTTTTTAAGAATTTTGAACAGGTTTAATGATGTGAACAGAGCCATACATCAGAAGATTACAAAACTGGCACAGTCAGAAGATACATCATTCGTTAAATCAACATTTAATGCCTTCTATGTGCCAAGCTCTGTTTGGTATTCAAAATGCCTAGAAGCACAGTATTAAATACACTTTCCCCTTTCCTTATTGATAACTTCATTGCTTTAAAGGTCCCAAAGTCAGAAGGGAAGCTGCTACTTTGGTTTATTTGGCCATTAAGAAGTAGGTGAGCCGGGCTCGGTGGCTCAGCCTGTAATCCCGCGCCTTTGGGAGGCTGAGGTGAGTGGATTGCCTGAGCCCCCGGGTTCAAGACCTGCCTGGGCACCGAGACCTCATCTCTACAATAAATCAAAAAATCAGCTAGATGTGGTAGCGTATGCCTGTAACTCCGGCTACTTGGAAGGCTGAGGTGGAAGGATCGCCGGAGCCCAGCAGGTCGAGGCTGCTGTGGCCAGGAGCAGCCACTGCACTCCAGTCTGGGCGACAGAGTGAGACTCCAGCTCAAAAAAAAAAAAAGTAGGTGATCAGAAATAAACATCAGCTCATTAGACTTAAGAAATGCAGATCTATACCTGTCTCACTTGCTTTGAGACTCACAACCGTGAAGCCACTGAATCCCAGAAGGTGACAGGGTTGTCGTGGAAAGTGCAACAACTTAAGGTTGCATAAATAGGATAAGGAGAGCAACAGACCCACTGTACTCAGTGGCTGGGCTGCACTGTATTTTCCAAAGGAGGGTACAGTAATCAGGATGTGAAGGAAACAATGTGTCCTAAGAAATGTGAAGTAACCGAAGGTTTGCAGTTGTATAAACGAGACTGAACTTTCAAGTAGGTGCCTTCCAATCCAGAAGTAACAAAAGATTAATCTAATCTGATGGCAGTTCTAAGCAGATGTTGGCAAACTATGGCCTGCAGGCCTAATTTAGCCCACCACTATTTTTAAATAAAGTTTTATTGCAGCACAGCCACACCCACTTATTTATGTATTCTATTACATAATTGAATATTATGGGGACTACAATGGCAGAGTTGAGAGCTGTGACAGAGACTATATAACCTGGAAAGCCAAAAATACTTTACTATCTAGCCCTTTATAGAAAAAGTTTGCCAATCTCTAGTTTAAAGGATGGGCTGAAGGTTGAAGGGGGACAGGTAATCCTACCTGGAGTTTAATAAAGCTGCTTGTAAAAGAAATAAAAAGAACCCAGATGTGAAAGACATAAAGATAAAATTGCCAAGATTTGATAACTGCCTGGATCTGGGAACAAAGCAAGAGTCAAAATTGACGCTGAAAATAGAGTTGATAACTGGTTATCATTTATGGTAATAGCTTGTAGACAGTAAGAAGGAAGGAAAGGTAATGTAAAATAAATACCTTGTTAAGCCATTCTTTTTTAAGAGATGGGGGTCTCAAACCTTTGGCCTCAAGTGATCCTCCCACCCTGGCCTCCCAAAGTGCTAGGATTATAGGTGTGAGCCACTGTGCCCAGCTGAGACATATAAATTTTAAATACTTAGTCTAAGGGTTATCCAGATGGAAATGTCTGGAGTCCAGCATGAAATGTATACCAAGATGTGAGGAGAGACCACGGCTGAGGATAAAGATGTTGGCATCTACAGCTGAAGATGTGAAAGTGGGTAAGATCACTAAAAGAAAACACAGAGAGAAAAATAAAAGAGAGTAGAGTACAGAGTAAGTGATGGCAGGGAAATGAGATGAAGCCACATGCACAGCTAGGGAGCAGGAGAGGAAAGGCCAGTAGGGGAACCAAAGAAGCTTGTGCTTTGGTAAACTGAGAAAACTTGGCTCAAAGAGTGAAAAACACTATGAAAGTCAATAGAGAATCTAAGGAACGAACCTAGCAGGAGGCAACCAAGAATTTTGGAGGATTGGATCCAGTTCAACTGATACCACTTACCTTCACTGGCCCTGCTGTGTCTAATTTTAGTGGTACCAAACCAGCAGCCCATACCTGTGGCCTAGGAACTACTACCCAGCACTAAATGGGCAAACCACTGGCATCAAGACAATGAAACAAATGTTAAGCCTTGCTCTGGCAGTGGCAATGACTAAAGATCCCTTAAAGTGGCTTGTACATACAGCTCGTCAAAAAAAGAGCATTGTGAATGTTAATACAAGCTGACAAATCACTTACCGTAGGTAGAGGACAGTAAAACTGATGAACTGTATGCATGACATCCAAGAGCATATTATGTCCGATAACAAGTTTTCCCTAAAGAAAGTCAAGGTTAGGAAAAAGACTTCTAGGTACAAAATTATACTGGGGTTTGAAAATAAAATGTATAGCCCAGACTCCATGAGGATTTTGTACTAAACTTGCTTTTCCACATTTAAATAAAAAAGTATAAACATACGCAAATAAATAAATTTGGGCTGGCTTCATGTTTCTTCAATTTTAGAGTATTAAATCCAGAATGCAAAATAAAAGCACCAAATAATTCTTTCTCATTGATCTTTTTTTTCTCAGATTTTTACTCATCGAGTCACCCTCAAGAATCAGAAGTAGCAAAATTTTCATCAAAGTGGTTTTTTTTGAGTCAGGGTCTCAACTCTGTTACGCAGGCCGGAGTGCAGTGACACATCACAGCTCACCATGGCTCAACCTCCTGGGCTCAGGTGATCCTTCTGCCTCAGACTCCCAAAATGGGCTCCCAAGCTAACTAGGACTACAGGCATGTGCAACCACCCCCAGCTAATTTTTTTTTTTTTTTTTGCTGAGATTACAGGGGTGAGCCACCGTACCTGGCTAAAGGGCTTTTCAAAGGTAAAATCTGAAAACACTGAGTCCCTTGAACTGCCAAAAAAACTGTGAAAGTAACTCTAAATATACGTTTGAGGACTATATTCTTTAAAACTATCTTTTTTTTTTTTGAGTCAGAGTCTCACTCTCACTCAGGCTAGAGTGCAGTAGCATGATCATAGTGCACAGTTGCCTCGACCTGCCAGGTTCAGGTGATCCTTCTGCCTCAGCCTCTTGAGTAGCTGGGACTACAGGTATGTGCTACCATGCTCAACTAATTTTTTTTTATTTATTGTAGAGATAAGGTCTCACTCTGCTGGGCTCAAGCAATCCTCTCACCTCGGTCTCCCAGAGTGCTGAGATTACAGGCATGAGACAACATGCCCAGCCTTATTTTAAATGATACATTCAGGACAATGCTAAAAGGTAAAAATAATTAAATTCTAACTATATTAAATAGAATGAATTTTTATCTCCTACATCAACTCTGTCAAATTTCATAAGGCATGTTCTTAAATACATAACCACTATAATTCTTTGCTTTTCAGTCAACTGAAATATAACCTCTGTGCTGGTGGTCCACTTGGAACAGTGGGCAGTATATCAGTCTCACAATACATGTTAACAAATTGCTCCATTTTGATAAAAACTAAGCTACCAAAATGGAACATTAACTTAGGTTTAGCAAGCCAGGTGACACTATTTTTTTTTTTTTAGTTGAAATCTCACTCTGTTGCCCAGGCTGGAATGCAGTGGCACGCTCACGGCCACCGCAGCCTCTACCTGCTAGGCTCAGGCAATCCTTCCACCTCAGCCTTCCAAGTAGCTGGAACCACAGGCACGTGCTACCACGGCTGGTTAATTTTTTTATTTCTTGTAGAGATGAGGTCTCACCAAGTTGCCCAGGCTGGTCTTGAACCCGTGGGCTCAGGCAATCCTCTCACCTTGGTCTCCCAAAGTGCGGAGATTATAATGAACCACCGCGCCTGGACAGCACAGTTTTTATTTATTTATTTTAAATTTTTTAGTTTGAAGATTAGGGTACAATTCAGGGTTCACTGTTTTTAACAGATAGCATTGATTCACCACAGTAAAGCTTTTTACTATGTCTCAAAGGACCTTCAGTGTAACACTGCTTGACCCATAGGACAAATATAATTCTTCAAAATAAATAATCCTACATAAATTCCTCCAATCCTAACAGACAACCAGTTCTTCAGGCTGAGTGTGTATATTCTGAAGAGCTATGCATCGCTAAGATACCGAATATTGATTGAAACCATGAAAAAGATGTATAGGAAACCCTAAATGGAATATAGACACTAAATAAATGAATCTTACTGTACACCATGCCCACACTGAGGGAGGTTAGGAAGAAAAAAACTAACTTGGAAAAGAGCATATGGACTATGTATTGTATGGCTAAAGACAAAAAGAACTGCTCAGAAATCATAAATGCCATAATCTCAACAAAGACTATGCTTCTCACAAGATATGGGTCAGTAGTACTGAAACTACTTTATGTGTATTCCAGGTTTAAACAAATATATACAATGTAGATAATAAGAACTGAATTTCTCACTGTTGAAAAAAGAGAAAAATAAACCCTATGGTATTGAATTGTTATCTGAGGTATCAGTATAAAGGCATGAATATACATATACATATATATGCATATATATAGGCACATACACACATATACAGAGAGACACAAAAATATAGCTATGTCCATATATGCCTAGGTCTACAAACATATCGTTCTTATATCTGTCCAGTGAGAAGGTTTAGAAGTAATGACATCAGAGTAGTAACCTAGAGCCAGATCTTCATTTTTAAACATCATTCCCCAATAAAAGGGACCAGAGCTCCTTGGAAAAGTCCTTGGTTCCATAGATGAGCCACAGACAGTACAAGATGAGCCTGGGGCCATTGCCTTACTAGACTTTGGTGTGGCCATGTGCTCTTTGAGCTATGGCCAGGCCGTGTTTTCTTTTTTTTTTTTTTTTTTTTTTTTTTTTTT